AGGGGCGCTTGGGACGATAAGAAATCGGTGGGGAAAGGGGCGGGGCGGGGGGGGGGGGGGGTGTACATCGGAACAATGGAAGGATTGAACAGAAGGAAATGAGGGCTTTGTGTGATATTTTGCTGCTACATCTCCCGCGAGCGAGCGTTGTGAGTGCACAGCACGATTCTGTGGGGTGAGTTGTAGCTGTTTTTCTTTCTTTCTTTCTTTCTTTTTATCTCTGCACATATGCATAGCAAGAAAAGTTAAAAAATGTTGTCGGTGCCCTCGCGCGAGTTGTTCGCACGTGGCATGTACTACCGGTGTCACATTCTATGTATTGCGTAAGAAATCATTATGTTCTCGAGGCTAAGGGTCGCGTGTCATTATAGTGACTGGTGGCAGTCAAGTCTACATCCCCGCGGTGTATGGGTGGGTCTGGTTGGGCGGCTGACCGGTTGGTTACAAATACGTTCTGTCATTGTGTATTGTTTCGTTCCTATTGTAGGCGGATTGCGAGCGCTGCGGCAAGGTATCATAGCTATATATATAGCACATGGGACCGTAGAATACTGCTCGTGTTTTCGTCTTCTTCTACAGTATCACGTCCTCCAAGCAAGATGAGAAACACCACAAAAGAGACGTTCATTCAGACGCTCACGATGGGGCTTCAGAGCTCTCCGGGACAGCCCCGCCGTGTCCACCATGCGCACGAAGGGAGGGGGGCACGCAGTCGAAAGGTCTCCAAATAGGGGAGGCCCACTACACTCGATTGCTTGAGCGGCGGAGGAATGTACCGGCCGCTTGTTTGGGAGGTATTGGTGGCACCGCCCCTACCTCGCTGTGCTTGTCGGTGCACGTACGTAGGTCGCACGAAACAGCCCCCCCCTCTCTTGGAGAGTTTGCACTCGCTCGCGAATATTGGCAAGAAGAACACTGCCGAGGACGCTCCCCTGAGGAAGATCAAGCACTTGATGGAAAACCACTCCTCCCCTGTTGAGACGACGTTGCTATAGTAGACACAAGAAATCCATCACCGCCCACGTGGAGTAAACCGATGTGCAATGCGTGTGTGTTTCAAACGGAACGATAATAGTAGCTTGTCTTCTTGTGATTTCCCTCCGTCGGGGTTTACATCTGACGAAAAAAAAGATTATTTTCCCGACATCACCCCGCCTGTTTGCATGCCATCCACATCCACATCGTCTGTCTGTCTCATGCACACGCCCCCGACGTGCGCGTTCTCCACAAACCGGCGGTTGTAAGCCCGGCCGGCCAATACCAGGAGTGAGTCCATCCAGCCTCTTGGTGGGGCAAACCTCCAGGGTAGATGATTTAAAGCCTTGATGCAACAACCTGCAGCAAGCAGCGCTTGTTTTGACAACAATTTTCCGCTGCATGCATTCCCGCGTCGATTCCACCTATCATTTACTACGCGAGTTCCATCGTTGAGATGGTTGTTTTCGGTGTTGATGATTGAGCAATCAATCAACACAAATGCGCACCGTGGCGGAAAGTGAGCGCGAGATCTGAAAAACCATCTCGTGAACGAGCGAGTTGTAAAACCTGCAATCCGTTCGTTCAACCCAGACTGCGGTAGATTGTTCAGCCTTCTCGTAAACCGAGGGGCTGTGCACCCTTTTCAAGTCCAGGTAGACGCTGCAAAAACGGCCAAAGCCCTCCCTCTCTGCTGTCCTGCACCGCTTCCGTCGGAATCCGCGGCACGCACGATTCCACCCCTCTGTGGGTACAGGTACTCTCTCTACATGTACGGCAAAAAACCTTCTGGGACTACAGTAAGATGCCATACACCACGAACAACCGTGGATGACACCACCCGTCATCCAAGGATACCATGGAATGCGGTGTCCTCGGTATTCTATTTCGCCGCAAGGGTTAGACCTTTGGCCAATTAGAAACCCGCGCGCCAGATTTCATTTTTTCTCGCTCGCGCTCTTGAGCTCTCCAACTCGAAAGCCTGCTTGTTGTGCATGCCACAAAATACCTCCCCATTGGATGAGATGTGGATCTGGCCTCTGGAACTTGGTGCACTCGAGACACAGCATCATGGAATAAATAAAAACCTGCCTGGTATGTACTTTCTTGCCAAGCACTACAGTACCGTAGCTTCTATGGCACAACCGGGTCCACCCCTGTCATGCCCACGCCAAAGGTTCCGTCAAACACCACCTCTTGCGGTGGATATCGCCACCGCCTCGCCACACCACCACCGCCACCCTGCCCTTCCGGCTTTGACGGTGCGGGATAACCCGTGGGGACTATGATGGGAATACCGTATCGGTCGGGGATGTCAAGCGCTGCCCTCACTCTGCAGCGCGTAGGTGGCGGGAGGAGCGCGGGGAGGGGGGCGTACTCATTTGTTGCTTGCCGTAGTCATTTGACCATTGACCACGCGTCCCTTTCGAGACGGAGCACCGTTCCTACCCCTACTAGAGACACCACCAACATTTGGGGGGTTAACGGGGGCTAAGCCATGGGGGCTCCATTTCAGAAACATCCGTCTGCATCTGTCTTATCTTGACTACGCAGCAGAGCTTTACCGTATCGTAAGGGGTGGGACAAATGCGAGACACAAAGCCGAAGTCCACGGACATTTTTTTGAGAATACCAAGTACAGCCAAGCAGCAACAACCTCTTTGCCAGATGGCGAAGCACACACCGATCGCCATTGACGGAGGGAAAAGAAAGAATCGATATAAGAAAAACTCAGGCGTGTACGACCAGTCACCTTCTGGCGTCGAAGCCTTCCATGGGGGCGGTATCCAGCCCGTGCGCCGTACAGGAGAGGATGTACGTCTGGACGGCAAGGGCGGTGTTCTTAAACGACCACGCCTCCGCCGACGCGACCTTGTGTGGTGCAGTTTCAAGAATGGGGACCGAACACATGCAAGGAGGATAAATCAGGCTTTTTTTCTGGGTTTTTACAGACAGAGGCGGCATTTTCTACCCATAAATGAACAGACGCAAATACGTAGTCAACGTAGGACGGTTTGAGCATTGTCAGGGGATCGAATCGGAAACCGAGGACGTAAATCCAGAGAAAGAAGTCAGAACCGTCCTAGTCCTTGGATAACCAGCCCCGTCCACGTTCACGTCATGGCATACGGTTGGACGCACCCTCCTGCGATTTTGTGAACGCGACGGCCCTCTTCGTGTGTATGTAGCCCAGAGTGCGGAACTGATCGCAGAGGTAAAGATCCGTCGCGTGCGCGAGCCCCTTGTTCCCGCAAACTCCGGGTGCCGTTTGCGGCAAACGAAAAGGCGATGCTGGTCACGGCATATCCCGTCCATCACACTCTCTCCCCTCCGGTGTGTTGATTGGTTCGGCCATAGGGTTCCATGCAGTAGCCTCGTTCTCGTGAGTCTAGCTCGACCGGAAAAGGCTTGCGCTGTATGTTAAGCTCACCTCCGGCGCTGGCTGCATAGGAGAGGCGATAGTGGTGACGGCGTTCCGCACGGCGTTGCCCACGACTCCCTCCCCGCTGAACAGGTTAACCGCCAGGCAAAACTAGAAAAACGGGGCAAGTATACAAGAATGAGTTTCGTGCGATGGTAACAGCTGCGTCAGCGGCAAACGAAACATGAGCACCTCCAACAAAGACGACGACAACAACAGCAGCAGTGCCTCTTTGCTGGGAATGTTGTCTGAAAAGACGGGCACAAAACATAAGACAGCTTTGGACCGCCAACCATCGGGCGGTAAGAAAAGCGCAACCCATCATGAACGGCACTTTGACAGGCGGGAAGGGTAGAAGGTGATGCGCGCCGTGTCTTACCGATCAACAAACCTCAACGAGATAGTTGGGGTAAGTTGTTTTTTGAGAGTCATGGCGCGGGTGGAAATGTAGCTCGAAGTTCGAACTAGCAATTCGAACCGCCTCTTCGGGTACCTACTATCAAACTGAGGTGTGCGAACGGTAAGCGGTCATGTAGACTGTTCTGCGGCAAGTTGGAAGCAACTTGAACACAGCAACAGTTCTGTTCTAGTTCCACATGTGATGTACCCGGCGAGGATATCATCGCGCGGACAGCATAATTGAAACTGCACAGTGCGAATGTGAGCATGGAAGAGCCGGACCGCATTTGTCGACGAGTGCGCCCAAACCTTGGTGATCTCGGCCTCGGGCATGCCCGCCTTTCGGTTCAGCTCCACCATCCGGTTGATGCGCTTCGACGGCTCTGCGACGGGTTTGAACAGGCGCCACCGGAACGGCGTGCGCATGAGTGGAGTGGTTGTGTCGATTTATCTAAATGAACAAGTGACGCCTGGCAGTGCGAAAATTTGTACTTTTCTACTCCAGTAGTAGGATGAATATTGTGGTGGCAACTCTTTTGCCAACGCAAAGCTGCCGCTCGTACAGGCAAGGTGGGGGTGATGCGGTCAATACCGACCCCGTGTTTCGGTACCTTGCTTCGTGTCGAAGCGGACCGCTAAAATTACACACTTTTTCCGCTGCCCGGGCTTGCGTGACGGGCGTCAACACCGGCAGCCCCCAATTGGGCCGCCTTTCGCTTAAAAGCACACCCTCAACGGTGCCACCGTACACGCTACCGATAGAGAGAGAGGCACCGAGCAAGGCTCTTGCTTGGGTTCAAGCCACAAGCGGAACCGGGAGCTGTGCCGGGTGGAAGCCAAGCATGCAACGAGGTGGCACCGGACGTATGATGCGGTAGAGACATCGTCCCACCCCCATCCGACAGGTTGGCGGTCTCGATACCGTTGTCTTCGACTGAATAGGAAACCGACCAGTTCGTCGAATACCACTCTGCGCTACTCCTCCATCTAGAACAGACAGCACTCGGGGTTGGACAGCAAGCGAGCAACAACACCAACATATAGTCCCAATGCAAACGCTCCCCCTGCGACGGCGTTCCGCGTCATGTTGGACGGCACGGATGTCAGAAGGCACCGCTTGCGAGCAGAGACCGAAAAGATAGACAACGACAACAACAACATACGCTCACCCAAGTCGGCGCAGAAGACGGCCGTGACAGGAGCCGCCAGGACTTTCTTCGCGTTGCCGCCTAGCATCGCCGTCGACAGCCGCTCTCTTGCGGCGGTATCCCTTACCACTACCACGCTCCAGGGTTGGATGTTGAACGACGAGGGGGCGCTGGAGTTCGGGGGGGGGGGGGAGGTACCGCACCCCGATCCCATCATGAATGTCAAAAGCAAAAGTAAGAGGGATGTGGACGTCAGGCTTGGGTGACACTCTATCGGTCCAAAAAGAAAAACGGAAGTTTGTTTACTGCCAGAATGAGTGTTGTCATGTAGTCATGGCGAGATTTAGGCCGAAACAAAGAGCGGTTGTGTCGACGTGTGGTAAGGTGGAGTCGTACAGTAGTACGTACTGTAGTAATTTCTCCGTCCCATGTCGCCGGAATTGATGTGGATAGATGGATGAGCGTCAAAATTGTACCCAAATCACCTTCAAGATCCCTCTGACCAAGACGTTTGCAGTAGCATACTCGTGAGACTCACCCCAATGGTTCAGTTTACTTCCTCGCAATCTTCGGTAAGCTGGGCACGTGAGTTCGAATGTCGGTGCAACAGCTGGGAAGTTTGTTCTCAAGTTGTGCTCAAAACAAGTGTGGACCAACGACTACGTAGTGCGCCCGAAAAAAAGCGTTCACCGAAAGTGACGCTAAAAAAATTGGACGACAAATGGGACACACACGCGCACATGACATGTACCGCATATATGTATCTTCTATCACACCTCTGCGTAAGCGCCATGATCTCGCGTAGGGCGGGGGGGTCGACCTCCTCATCGCTGAAGCTAATAGCCGCCGTGCGAGAGGTGACCACATCTCGGAAAGCTTTCAGCCCTTCAGGCGACAACGATGAGGAGTTGCCAGAGAGGTCGGCGTCTTCTGCGAGCACGGTCGCAGGGGAGTGTAGTAGAAACAAACCAAACATCGGCGGCACCCCATGAGGCAACAACATCCGTACGGTAGGGTGAGCCAACTATTGTAGGCTTTTTGGGCGTGTGGGTGCGCAGAGTGCGAAGGAAAAATAATGTTCATGTTTGGGCAGGTTGAGGCTGCTCTCTGAGAACCAGAAGCACACGCAGGTACAAGCAAAGAGTGAGGTGAGGTCGAAGCACAGGGTTGATTTGTAGACTTCAGCAGCAGACTACGCCAAGGCTATCTCTTGCCGAGGCCTCGGCGCTGAGCATTGCGAAGGAAGACACAAATGGCGTGCACAGAGTACAGCAGTACGCCTTAATTTCTGAGGGGCCGGGGGGTGTACTCATAGTCGTGCATGCCGTAGTCGTTTGATCATTGACCTCGCATCCCTACAAAGCCGGCACGGAGCACGCCGGGTCCTCACCGGACCAGGCTTTCACATCACCAAGCGCGAAGCGTCGTGAGGTATTCGGCGAGTTGCATGGAGAGTGCACTGCGTCCTGTTGTAGGGTGAATGTGCTTACTTCCTTGCAACGGATTACAGCTTCGTCTGGGGGGTGGCTGGTAATTCTCGAGGTTCTTCGGCAACTCCTTGTTGTGACAGCTGCACATGCCTCGGTAGGTGACGGCTGAGAGCGAGAACTGACTAGTAGTCAGCCGCTAGGTGCCGTCCACCCCAAGATGTGTGTATTTGTTGGACAACGACCTCGCACTTCTCTCTGTCTCTGCAAGCATGGAACATCCATAACCTCTTGATGCTTGAGGTTGCACTCCGATGCCATCGATCCTATTAATACTACACTACACGCTTTCAGCTTTCAGACCAGAGCAGCATACCGGCGGAGGATTAAATGCCCACCTTGCAAGTTCGCGTCTTCTCCTTGTCGTAGACGTGGTGAAGACGAGCGCACGGAAAACATTGCCGCAGAGCATCGCAGGGACTCTGCAACGCCATGCTTTCGGATGCACCTGCCGAGAAGTGCTTCCTGCGGCCGCACTACTCGCGAAAACATGGGCTTCGGCGGAGTCGCTCTTTATCTCTATATATATATCTCGAGTAGTCCTAGCTCTTCTCTCTCTGTCTGTCTGTCTGTCTCTCTCTCTCGCTTACTCTCGGGCGCTGGGTGCTGGGTTGGGCAGTGCCGGGGGCCGGGGGGTACTGCGGCGTAAAAGGCGGCGAGATTTGGGTTTACACTGTGGGTTGGCGGCATGTACGACAGTCCCGTGAGCTACATCCCGCATCCCACAACTAACTCCACAAACAACCAGCCAGCACGACCGCCACAGCTTGGTCTTGCGCTCTGGCCAGAGCTGGCAGAGTCCTCCCCACCGGCTGAACGGACAAGGTGCGAGGGAAGACGCTAGCCGAAGAAGCACAGCAGTACGCATCACTCTCAATTTGTATTGCAGATTTGAACCCACCAGTCGTGTGCTCAAAACCTCGAACTGCCGCTATTTCATGTGCATGCAGTACAACGACGGTACAACGACAGCAGTGCCAGCAACCGTTAGCGGGTTAGCGCCCTGCTGGTATCCGCCACTCTACACTTCATGTCTTTGGTGCAGTCCTGTTCGTGTTGTTGCTGGTGGTGCTGAGGTTCTCGCTGGAATTGTACAATCTTCGCACAAGACGCAGCGTAATGCATTCATGTGCACGTCGAACACGCAGGTGCAAGCTCTAACCTCACCCGTCTTCTTCATCTATTGAGGAATTATTGTACGGAACACCCGCCTAGTGAGTGTGCCAGCAGCATTCCTACCGACTAGTTGTCACCGACCCTATTGCGTCCCCAAAACCGAAAGTTAAAAAGTACCCAACACAAAACACACACATATTGTGTATTGGCGCAGACAGCATTGGTGAGGTATGTATTGGCGGAACTGCTGTAATTTGGAGACGAATGTGAGAGGTGGATATATACCATCAAGACATGTACTGTACCCTTGCATTGCTTGGCTGGCACGAAGTGTATTTCAGTCTCATCGCTATCGGTCTCTTCCAGCATGGTCTTTCTTGATTGATGAATGAGAATTTGGGTGGCATAGGTGTTTCAGTCTCATCGATATCAGTCTACTCATTCGGGGGGGGATCCAACCCCCCCCCCCCACCCCACAACCACAACGAAACAACAACCACCACATCACACCACACACAACACCACACCGCCAGCAGGACACGTGTTCACCTACTGCTGTACGTGGTTGATCATGTCGCTAGCGGGTGAATATTGCAGGGAGGCCTAAGCTAAGCTGACAGCACAGCCACGAGCAGAGACATCCACTTGCTAGATACCAGCCGAGCGGACTCCAGCAACACCGGAACAAGTGGTACTTCGGCATGACTGACAGCACATTTGCCTGTTCACAGGCACATAGACTCTAGGAAGGGGGAGGGGGGGGGCTGCCATGGACGACAGCGGCGACGACGACGGGCCCCCCCACGGAACCGTCGGCGATGTCCTGCCGGGACCACTTCTCGGCCCCGTCATGGGGCTGGCCTTCTCGACAGGCGGCGATCTCCTCTTCTCTTGCAGTGGCTCCTCTCTCCGCGTCTACGACGTCCGATCCGGTGCTCCGCTCTCTGCCACGAGGGTCTTCAGCCCTGGGGTCACGGTGCATGGCATTGACGTTGGCCGAGAATCTTGTGAGTGTAAACGGAGTACTAGGGTGGTCGGCACCGAAGCGTACCGGTGCTGCTGCTGTATCCGCAGCTGTTGTTGTGGTCGATTTCGCCGGCGTGTTCAAGGATGGAACCCAACGCCAGGAGGGTCCTGCCAGCGTTTGTGGTGGTCGACCTACACTATGAAAGTGTCGCGAGATCTATGTCGTGCTATTACATCGGGTTCGATCGGATGGAGATGGACCCATTTTGGCTAGGTGTCGAACTATTGGCTGTATGCATAAGATCTTCAAGACTAGCCAGACGAATACGATAACCTTCTCTGGTGTCGTCCTCGTCTCGCTAGACGGCATGGAGGGTGAAGATATGTTGTAGCACCCTGTATTGAACAGCGGACGGTTTTCTTGCTGCGCTTCACGGGTGTGATGCATTGATCACGCTGGCCTCACACTCGTATGCGGCGAGAATGCCTGATTCCTCCTTCCGTATAGCGGTGCATCCCAATTTCTCAAGACGCTTCAGGCCAGGTAGCTTGGTGCGTCCCAGGCCTTTCCTGTTGCAAGTATTCCGAAATGCCTTTGTAAGTTCCATACAGATTCCACTCACTACCGGCTGCCCCCCCTACCCCCCCGTACCCTCGTACGGTCCTTCCCTTGCATCTGCAACCAACCACGACTCTCAAAACGCCGGTGCGTTGAAGTCGGCGCGATCTTCGGAGACAAGTGCGTCCGCATCGTCGACGGGGTGCCCACGGGTGCTGGCGACACCGCGGCTTGCTCGTGGTTTCGAGGCGTGGCCAGCCTTCCCGACTTGGAGGATCGAGTGTGGGACGCTCGGCTCATCGGCAAGTCAGGAAGAGGGACAGGAGAAGGAGGAGGAAAGGGGAGGACGGGGGGAATCGGGAGGGGCGCCGTTGGGGGTGGGGGGAGGACAGGGGCGGCGCCTCGCCAAGGCGTGGGGAAGGAAAGTGACGGAGGGAGGCGGCGGGGGGAGCGTGCTGGCGTGGGGATGGTGGCGGTAGCGTTGGCTCACACTTCTGTGGAGGTACACACGTGTGGCGGGTGTGCTGTGCTATGTGTTGCTGACTTTCTACCAGAAGCTTACACCGCCTCCGCCCGCGGCTCAAGGCGTAATGTACCCGCGACCCGAAGAAAAAGATGTCGGCAACTCGTTCGGTGCAGCTTGTTTATCTTGTCTTCGGTTTTTCGTTTTTCGCTTTTGGGTTGTCCTTCGTTACCAGTAACCTTCACAGGTTTTTTCGTATTCTGTAAACATGTCGGATAAAGCATACCATCGGGGAAGTTGGGGTAGGGTCAGGGAATAGGGTCTGCGTCCCCCCTCCCTGTACTATTTCCTCATAAACTTACTAATCGCGCGAAGGCGATCCCTTATTACACCAGTAGATGCTCTTGTTTGCCGGTGTGTTCGCCCTGAGAAAGCTTCGTCCCCACCCGTCCCAAAGCATTCCGGCCTCCGGACCCGGGAGAGTCGGCCATGCAGCAACCTTTCGTCATGCTAAGAAGCGCCGAAGATGACAAACCCCCGCGCGCTCTCTCTCTCTCGCTCGCGACACCCGGTCGTGCAGCGTTTTCTTTTGGCCAGACTCGATCCTTCGTCGTGGCTGCTGCTGCCGCTCTTCATCGTTTGCAGGTGTGGAACTGGGCAGGCCAGGCGCGCCCGCTGAGGATACACCGAGCTCAAGGCGGGGACCCGTGCCTGCTGTACCACGCCCGCCTGTGGGGGAGGGCGCTGGGCGAGCTGAGGGTCGCAGCCGGCACCGCTTTCAATCAGGTCAGGACCCTTAGCCACTATCGAGAGTGTTCTTGAACGAGGATTTGTTTATTTTTGGTGTTTACCTCTGGGGGCGGGGAGGGGGGGGGCGTTCGCTTCCCGGTAGATGACTAGGAGTACAAAGTCTCGTCTCGAGTGCAATTCGCAGGACGTTGACGTACATGATACATGACGTTACAACCTCCGCTACGCGAGCACAGGTTTTGGTGTGGAGCCCGGGTCAACCTACAAATTTCGTTCCGGAGGGGGTGCGCAGAAAGGGCGGTGAAGGGCATGGCACGGTAGGCCAAGGGGATGGGAACCCGGGAGATCCAGAGGAGGTTCCGCCGTGTCTACCAGGGAGGGGCGTCGACGTGCTGCGCCTGAAGGGGCACGAGGGCGTCATTTTCAGGTAGGTACCTGCTGCCGCTTGTACAGCGCCGGAGGAAGAATCGGGGATACTCTTTCTGCGTCGAATTTCTGCCATCTTTCTTGGTGCTGCTGTATGGGCGTTCTTTCTCTTCTGCGCACCTTCCTTTTTTTTTTTCTTCTTTTTTGCACCGCTGTCACGATTAGTATAGCATCACTGGCGTTTCGTTGGCATGCTTCTACGATAAACCTACCTCCTCCGTCTTTGCTGTACTACTCCATTCTCTTTCTGGAAACCATGCACCTTTCCTACCCTACCCTCCTGAATCTGCGTGCCCCCCCCCCCCACGTCCCTGCGTACCACCAACTGATGACGACGCACACCCCCGCACTCGTTATCCCCCCCGCTTGTGGCAAAAAAATCCCGTGGAGCGAGGACGGGATGCGATTGGGCTCGGCGTCGGAAGACCGCACCGTCCGCGTTTGGGACGTGGAAAGCCCCTGTGAGGGCTGCCGCGGCGGCAGCGGCGGGAACAGCGGAAAAAGCAACGGCCAGGAGATGGAGGGGGGGGAGAAAGAGGAAAAAGAAGAAGAAGAGGAAGAAGAAGAAGAAGAAGAAGAAGAAGAAGAAGAAGAAGAAGAAGACCAGGCAGCCCCCGGGGAAGAAGAAGGACCTGATGGTGGGGGAAAGCTTGTTTGGACCGGCTGGGGACACCCCCCCAGGGGGGGGGACGTTGGGTTCCCCCGCCTCCGTGTCCTCCCCTGCGGAAAAGTGAAAATAATCCTCCCGAAAACGCTTGTGCTTGAAGTATTCAGCCACCCTCCCCTAACGCGTACCCTTGTGCTATGTTGGTTTGAAGGGAGTTAGTTGGGTGAATGTAATATTGGTTTGAACCGAGCTTGCTGTTCACC